AGAGAGAGAGAGAGAGAGAGAGAGAGAGAGAGAGAGAGAGAGAGAGCGGTAGCTACAACGCAATTCTACTATCATTTAAGAATAATTAATGCGCCAGTGACCATCTCTGCAATACCATGCCCTGGAGTATGTAGTGACTCACTTCGCGAAGGCAAGCACGTGCGAAGGCTTACTACTACCGACGAGTACACATGCACTGGCCACCCACGCCCATCCGTCTAGCCAATCCATCTGACCAATCACCTGTCAAAGCCGACTCACACAAAGGCCGCTCCAGACGCAGTGGCGATTTCTGTAGTCACTTCATTTCAGACGCGCCCTACTGGACGGCGGTTGCTCGCTCGTCTGACAGTCAACCTCAGCTTAACTATTCTCCACTTCCTTCTTTTGAGAATAAACTGTTCCTACGGCTATAGCTTCTCATGGCTTCTCTTCTACTAAGGAAGCGGGCCTGAGGTTCGCGGTTGCTAGCGTTTAATTTACTTAAAACCCTGCGATAAGCATACGGTGGACCTCGTCGGACTCGAACTGTCGGGCCTCTGTCACGTCATCTGCATGCCATCTGTCTAATTTCTCATTCTGGTCACCTGGTACAGGTAACATTACGTGACACCAAAGAAACACCGTCCATCCAGTCCTTCCACGTGACGCGGAAAGTACGGCGAGCACCAGCTTTTATAGGTTGGAGGCGTGCAAAACTGTCCAATGAAAATGCAAGATACATTTTGGTGAGCAATTCAAATCGCTGAGACAGCGTCTGATGGCTAAGGTAGAGGCAACCGTAATCAGCTAAGGCAAATCTATTCTATGCGCGCAGAACATCACACAGGCGCTGCGGTTGCCATGGCCCAACGCCACCAAGCCAATTGTCCGTATTTAATTACCTTTTCTGATTGCCACCAAGCCCCACCCAGCACTTAGCAGATGACATCGACCGCAGCTTTGTTCCCCTGCACCCTAGCCTAGTTACTGCAGCAGTTTTCTACGCGCCCGCATCTTTTAATCATTACCATAGTAATATAAATGTAGAGATCTGAAGATATTTTATTGAAAGCAGACGTATGTTCCGAAATTTATGATTTAAATTTTTCAGTAGGAATTTTTTGCAAGTCTGGATTTGCCCAAGGATCCCGCAGTGTTATGCGCACTCAATGGGTACCTACTCTAACGGTGTGTGGGACGCAGTTGGTGAGAGTTAATGATAAAAAACGAAAAACGAAAAGCAAACAGAACAGCAGGACAAGAGATTTCGAAGCAGGGGGAGAGAGTTCATCCAACATGCCGTATTGCGACTCGATATTCAAACAGCTTGCGTGTTAACGTCTCGGACGTTTTTAAACATCCGGTTCATCTGCCTCCGGGTAATTTAGGTCGGCCAGGCAGTTTATTGACGGTTTTTCCAAAAGGAGAGGATGGGTTTCATAGAAAATAGATATCAGAAAACCTTCTGCGTTGCTGCCTTAAGAATCGAGCGGGAAGTGGATCAAGGGCAACGAGTCGTACGTTTCTCATCTGTGATACCTTGAGAATATACACCAAAAATAACCCAGATAGCAACCGTATAAAGGCAAAAGAACTACGGCGTCACTTATCTCCACAGACAATCTGGACGAACTGCAGGAGAACGAGGGACGCATAGGCTTTTAATGGTTCACTCGGAGCCGTTCGCATAACCCCCTTCCTATTGGCCGCGTTGTTGCGGCTACGACTGCCTTTCCACCAATGAGAGTCAAGCGATCAAACACACTCCTACCCCCTCATTCACTCCCTCCCCCCGGGATAGGGAGCCGAAACCTAACTGGCCAGAGTAATAGCATTACGACTTCAGGAGAACTGATCCCCTGACAGTTTGCAAAATCACGAACCCATGCTGCAACCGGTGGCGGCACCAACGAGTCTTCCGCCTTTTCAAGCTAGCAGCGCCTTTCTGGCGTCATCGTCATCCGCTGCCCTTGAACCCTTCACAGAGTGTCAACTACCTCCGGGATTGTGTCAAAGCAGAACAACTTCAGGCTCCTCAAGTTCAGACCATCAACAGGCTTGGTCCGCCTCACAATACGCCGAAAACGACGCCGTCGACTGCAAGACCGAACCAGGCGCGCCAATTTGGCCTCCCGCACCTCCAAATCAGCTTTGGTCTCATGACCTGGTGGCTTATGTCCCCTATCCGTATCCGTCCACTCCTACTCCGAACTACCTGAGTGCGGGCCAAAAAGCAATCAAGTGTCAGGTACGATTTCTTGTGCTTCTTGTAAATGCCCGAAATGGGGATAAAAAAATAAGTTAAACTACATAGACGAGATATTGGTTAATCGAATGATTAGGATCCAGCGTTCTTGCACTTTCGAAAAGTTATTGAATCTGCCAATTATTGTTCGGATACCATATTAATTTCTTTTTGTGAATGAAAACAAAGCGCTCAAAGTACAGGTATGGTTGGAAAAATGAATGTCCCCTTCTGTTCAATGGTCTTGATCTAGTATTGTCGGTATAGTAGGGCGGTACTGAGAAATGAGGAACTTCAATGCAGTTCAAATCCTTCTCACTTTTTTTCACCAATGTCATTGAAATTATCCTCCTGTTCGACGTTGAGGTACGAAAACAATTCCATCAAGGCTAACGCAAGGACATCGACGAAGAAAGAAGTGATATACTTTAAAAAGCCGTGCGCTTGAGGCAATTCAAACCCTCCCGGTTAATCCACTAGATGCTGATCATTGTTCAGCTTTGCAAAAACACTGATTGGTGGGCTTTACCATTGTCGCAGTGGCGAATTCAGCGTCAGTTTACCCCATTTAGTCGTGAAAGTCTTTTGTCATATACCCCAATACCAATCAGCCTCAAAATTTATTGGATTATACTTCCTCCAGTACCAACACTAATCATCCGTCTTCTAAAATTACTGAGTCAGTCATTCTCACGGTTTTTTTCGCACATACTATTTGATGCTCTTTCTCCAGTCGTCTATATGGTGTAGGTAACGCGAATTTGAAATATGCCAGCCTGTTGCCACACAGACCAGGCTTACTTAAGTTTTTCGAGGTTTTGACCAAGAAGCCAGACTGGATGCGCCAGTAAAACAACTGAAAGTTGCCTGCCTGCCTGCCTGTCTGAAGGACTGAGTAATGCAGAGGTACCACAGTTTCTTGGACGATACTTTCAAGGGCCGAGTCTTACTGTACTTTCCTGCATACGCATAGAGTCGGTCGCGGCTGAGCTTTCTTTATTCAAAACATGTTATGCTTTTCCCTGTACACGCTAGCAATGGTTGGCCCTGAACCCACAAGACAGTGAGCTCGTGGCATAGTGGGTTAAAGCGTTGGATTTCAAACTAAGAGATCGTGGATTCGAGCCCC